ATTGCATCTAATTTGTTCTGTAGGTTGTGTTGGCTAGGCCCATATACAAAAGCCATGATGTTAACAAATGATAACAAAAAATTCATTGCAATATTGGGACATCATACAGTTATACACATGCTATAGGTGTAATGGGTTAGCATTTATCTTATACAGTTAATGAATTGATACCCTTCTGACTTTTAATGAGTAGTATAGTGTGAGCAACTTAGAATCGAGTCTAGAATGGTATGATTCACCAGCTTTATGCCATTTATCTTGGATTAGGGTACATGAATCTTTGTAAGCTAAGTCAATTTTTGATCTCACCTTTTTTGGGCCTTTAATAAGCATAGATCAAGTCCATTCCATATACTACATCGGTCATTGTACGATAAATTCCATATACTACATCAGTCATTGTATGATAAACTACAGTTTAACTACTATGCTTTAATTTTTCTTTATGTTCTTTGTTACTGGTAGGGCTTCCAATGCAGCTTAAGCTACTCAAGATGGAGTCTGGAGCAAATGCAGATGGACTAATGCTTACACCAAGTGACAAAGATGTTGGCCAAGGATTTGTCTCGGTCTCCGAGGACAATGAAGTATTTAATGATGAGAGTTGGGAATCTGTCTATCTAGCTGATGTGCTAATTGACTCTAGATATGATGATGCTGACCCCGACACTTTTGTGTCAACATGGTACTCTCTCGATTGCCCTATGGACCCTTGTTTATTTGACAACATCGAGGAGAAGTATTCCAATGAGACAACGTTATTGAGGTCTGAAAGGAAGCTCCTGTTTGACCGCATAAATTCTGGGCTCTTTGAAATGTTCCATCAGTTTGTGGACCCACTCCCGTGGGTGAAGCAGCCTACAGGGAAGGTGGACCTTACAAGGCAGAAGCATTGGATCGGTTACGAGCTGCGTAAGTTGTTGGCAAGTGAAGAGAAGAGCATGCATGAGGACGTGACAGAGAGGGTGTTGGATAGGGAGATGCAGTGGCTTGATTCTGGGGATGGCGTGGACGCGATAGGGATGGAAATTGAGAAATTGTTGATGGATGACCTAATAGTGGAGTTGTTGGCAAGTGAAGAGAAGAGCATGCATGAGGACGTGACAAAGAGGGTGTTGGATAGGGAGATGTAGTGGCTTGATTCTGGGGATGGCGTGGACGCGATAGGGATGGAAATTGAGAAATTGTTGATGGATGACCTAATAGTGGAGTTGTTGGCAAGTGAAGAGAAGAGCATGCATGAGGACGTGACAGAGAGGGTGTTGGATAGGGAGATGCAGTGGCTCGATTCTGGGGATGGCGCGGACGCGATAGGTATGGAAATTGAGAAATTGTTGATGGATGACCTAATAATGGAGGTTGCGAATATGTTAAGTATGGATTAGAACTCAATTTTAGGCAGAGCTAGAGACAAGCGAATGGAATTGAATGGAATGGAATAGTAGGTGAAGAAGATGGGGAATAAAAGATCGAGAAAAATACTCGATGTTCATACCATATATTAGCATATGTTTCTTTTTTACTATTAAGTTTAGCAGTTGTAACATTTGAGTTTAGTAAATCTTTATGACTGAGGATGTTTTAGGATGAAAAACTGTGGATGAATATAGGGTCCTTGATCAAGTTTAGTTTTTTGTTTCAATAAATTCATAGATTCTAGTGGCTACCTTCATGTTTGAATAATTCTTAAATTTTTATTTTTGAAAAAAAGGGAAGAGAGACATGGCACACCCTATCTACTTTGTTTTTTATGCAATTACATGTCAAACTGAATAATTTTGGGTTGAAAATCTACCATTGCTTTTAAAAATATTTTCTAAGTGATTCACCAATTTTATATAATCCACTCTAAAATGGATTTAGTTGGTTGAAAATCTACCACGGCTTTGAAAAGTATTTTCTAAGTGATTTACCAATTTTATATAATTCACCCTATAATGGATTCAATAGTGAAGTCAATTGAAAATAACTTATGCATAAAATGACACATTAGGTCTATGCTGGACTATAATGTCACATGATTGATTTATTACTAATTTGTGCCAACATTCAAATGAAAAGAAGAAGTTAATTATGCTTTTGATCCCTGTAGTTTGATTCAAATTTTATTTTGATTTCTTATACTTTAAATCTAATTTTAATTTGGTTATTGTGCTTAAATTGGAAATTGAAATTAATGATTTTGCATTTATCAATTGTACAAAACATTAACCAAATTTGAATAAAAGGATTAAATTGAAATTTGACTTAAAGTGTATGTTTCTTTGTTATTATTTGTCTAATTAATTGTTTATGCTTCTAGTGTTCACCTCGCTGTAAGCTAAAATTTTGATTGGAGTAATACTATAAAATAAATAAATAAGAATAAATTTTAATAGTTGTGGATAACCTTGTTGTTGTGTTTTTAAATAAAAGGTTGCAATTGTAAAAAAAAAATAAAGAAAACAAGGAGCACTGTTTCAGACGTTTGGGTGGATGACGAGCCAATATTTGGTATTGGTATATATAGATGGGTTGAGGACACTTGAGGGCATTATAAGCATTTTAGTGTTTAGCTTTGATGACATCAGCAGGTTCTGTGAAATGTGTAAACGGCAGTCAAAAAATGGGAGAATCTTGACATTGTTAGATAAAGTAAGGGAGATAACTGTAATTATTGAAACTACATATAGCAATCCCGGTTTTCTCTCATTTGGTTGTTGTATTCCGGACTTAGGTTCTGTGGTGTTGGTTGTTGTATATATCTTGTTTCCATCCTTCAATTCCATATATTTGGGTTTTAGGTTGTGTTGGGCAGGTTTGTAACAGGTTGGTTGTGATTGGGAGCAAATGGTTGCTGCCCAGATTTTGGTAGCTTCGCTCGAGCGAGACTTTTGTCGCTCGAGTAAGCTCTGTGTTTTAGATCCTTCGCTCAAGCTAGGATTCCTTCGCTCGAGCGAGAGTTGAGTGTTGTGTCTGGTGGCTCGAGCGAGGAGTCTTGCGCTCGAGCTTGCGTCTGCGTCTGGTTCTAGACCTAAAAGTTGCATTTCTTGGCTCGAGCGAGCTTTCCTTCGCTCGAGTGAGTGAGCTGTATGTGTTTGGGTTCCTTTGCTCGAGCGAGCTTTTCTTCGCTCGAGCGTGCTTCTAGGTTGCAGACTTGAAGCTTCGTATTGTTGGCTCGAGCGAGGCTTTCTACGCTCAAGCGAGGTTTCTTTGTGTCTGGTCACTCGAGCGACCACTTCTTCGCTCGAGCGAGCCTCGAATATATCAGTTGGCAGCAGCGGGATTACACTTCACTTTTTCATCTCTTTTATCTTCAAACCCTAGATCCGGCTGCTCCCTCTCTCTCTGCATACCTTTTCTCTACAAATCCATCTAGCTCTAGTGTGTTTTTACCCTAATCCCTTTGTAAGAAGTGTGGACCATGGTGTGGGCTTCGTTTCAATCTGAAAAAGTTGACGTTTAGAGCATCTCGAGTTTTCACCTTCATCTCCATTGAGTCTCTTCTCTTGAGGTAGGGATACCCTACTCCATCTTATGGGTTTTAACATAAGTTTTAGTCATTTTGATTAAATGGTGAGTTATGGTAATTTTGGGAAAGTTAGGGTTTGATTTGTAATTTATAAAAGGTACATTGCTGCAGGGAGTTGTTGTGCACAAATGTTGTGGATAAAGCAAATGCTTCATGATTATGGGTTAGATCAGAACACTCTCACTCTTTTCTGTGATAACACAAGTGCCATAAACATTTAAAAAAATCATGTCCAACACTCTCGCACCAAACACATTGACATTTGTCATCATTTTATTCGAGAGTTAGTAGAAGAAGGCCTTGTTGTTCTTGAACATGTACCCACTGAGCATCAAAAAGCTGATATTTTTACAAAACCCCTTGATCTTCTTCGATTTGAGTTCCTTAGAAAGACCTTGGGTGTTGTGCTCAGTCACTAGGGTGTTACCTGTTTCTTGAGAGGAGTGTGTGATTGCTTTTATGTATACTTGGGTGTTATAATCTCATTGTCATTGATTCCTGTCATATTTGCATCTAAATGTATATGAACACTGATCATACTACTTACAAGATCTCATTCTTTTTTGTTCATAGCTCATTCTGAATGCCCATGCTCATTGACTTCATGATCTCATTCTGTACACATCCATGAGATAAACTGTTGCAGGGGTTTCCGCACAAGTGATCAAAGTTCTCTATGGACCACTAACAGTGTTTCTTGTACTTTTTCAGAGGATTTGACCTATACTAGTATATCATGGGTGATGTTGAGTCTCTTAACCATCTACCATCATTTTTCACTTCCACGGTTTCTCCTTTAATTCATTGAAGTTTAGACATTAGGAAAAGGCTACCTCAGAGGCACCAACCAGGCCATCTCTTTTTTATTCCATTCTTCTCTGGTTTGGTCTCCATACTCTTGAGCGCGCATGCCACCAGTGAGTGCCCACAAGAAAGAAAAGTTGGAAAAAAATAATAATATAAAAAAAGGACTCATTGATTGAGGATGAGCCTTCGCGTTTACTCAACAAATACCCTGTGATTCCTAGTGGTTTGACTTTTCTCTGTGATGTTTAGTTACTCTTGCTGGAGGTCCAGCCATCCGATCGCTACGAGGATTAACTCTAGCTCTGTGGCTTCTCAAGGGTCACACACACACATTATATATGTGAGCTCTCATGTTTGTTTTTGAGTTATGCATTCTCATGTTGCTTATGATCATTGATTGAATATTATCTACTTGCTCATGGTTTTGTGGTTTATAAGGTTTTAAATAAACAAGTTTTCAGGCTTCATGGTGTGTGGATTATTTCATCCCAGTATTACAGACTTCTAATTCTGCTCTCTTTTGTTTTACAGTTCACCCTTCTCTGATTGAGGTGTTTTTGTTTTTATTTTAATTTAAAAAAAATAACTAAATAATAATTTGGAGCTTAATTGTGTATTGTCCCCACTTAAGCGGAATTTATCACGCTCGAGCGTGAATTTCTGTCTTTCAGTATTTAGTGTAGGGGTTTGCAGTTCTGTGAGGGTGCTTTTGGCGCTCGAGCATCCTTTTTCGAGCTCGAGCATATCCACGCGTACTTTGGCTCCCGCTCGAGCGTTAATACTTACGCTCGAGCGGACTGGTTTGGTTTAAATACTCCCTCCCTCGCCTCTTCAATTCATTTCCCCCCCAAATTTCATTCTCTCTCCCTTAGGGTTTGGCTGGCGACCTCATTGGGCTGTGATTTTGACATTCTCCCTCGTTCTTCACCCCCGATTCAATCTTGGTAAGTCTTTTCTCTTCGCTCTCTGTGTTGTGTTCTTCATTTCGGCTCTTATGGAGGTTGTTTTTGGATTGATTTCTGCTTGTTTTTCTTTCCTATTTCATTGCACAGTTTGGTTGTTGTCTTGAGTGCCTCTTTGATTTACTGAGTTTTTTGTGTTGCCTGCTCTGCTGTGTCGATGCTTCTAGGGTTCTAAGTTGTTGGTTTTATTTCCTTCATTTTGATCTCTTATCTCTCAATTGCATATTGGTTTGATGAGTTTTGGTACATTTTTGCTAGGTTTTTAGAGACAGGGTAAAAATTAGTGCTTTATTTTCTTTATATTGTCCTGTGTGCTATATACTAATTCATGTGGTCATAGTGGTATGTACTGATGTTGATTGTCCTACATTTGCATCTGTTGGATTTGAACCTAGCACTATTTTACCTGTCATTTACATTAAGCTATGGTTCTGTGATTTTGATATTTTTCTAACACTGTTGGATTACTAATGTTTTGCTGTGCTCTGTTGCTTTGGGTTTTGGGGTTGTATTGTTTGGGCTTTAGTTGTGTTTGGACTCATCATGTCTGGTCCCAAACGTCGCAAGTCTATTGTGTCTCATTCTTCGTATAACCCTAATAGATTTCTTCAGAGAGTCCTTCGCGTCTAGGACTGTTTATCTCGAACGTCATGTCCAACCAAATACATTCGAGTCTATTCCCATCCATTCTTTTTTCGATCCATTAGGCGGAGACTTGGTTTTGTTCTTCTCCAGACGCCAAAACCTAGATTGGGTTCGTGAGTTTTACTGCAATATTGAGCATATAGATAGTATTGGTCCTTCCTTTACAACTTGGGTCCGTTCTAAGTCCATATCTGTTTCCCCCGAGCTT